TCCCATCCTTCAATTTGAACAAATGTACAAGACTGTGTCTCGAGAATCGACATCCGATCCACGATGCGCGGCAATATTATCTAGACGAGATGTCGCTTCGAGAAACAGAAACTCAGAAAGGTCTCGGAATCTGGATTGCAAATGCCGTAAAGCCTGCTACACAATGTCGTAAGGCAGCGAAAGCTGCAAATTTAATGCTGTACGCCACCAGACGGGCATCCACAGTCTTCGATGAAGAATGCTTCTCCACAGTCCTTGGCACTTTTGTAAGGCCACAGCTTGAATATAGAATCCAGGCTTGGGGACCATGGACACGGAAGGATTACAATTTACTCAAACTGGTGCGGAGGAAGGCCGTACAATGAGCAAGAGATCAAAGAACACTTTCTTACGAGACACGCCTAAATAATCTTAATTTCTACCCCCTGAGTTATAGGCAGTTGCGTGGAGACTTGATGTAAAATTTCTGGATCGTGCGTGGCTTGGACTGTGCCCCGGTGTGACGACACTGCCAACTCGCCACTTAAAATGTCCGCCGGGGAATACCTTCCAACTACGAGTTCTCAAATGAAGATTGGATGTGAGAAAGTATTTGTTCTCCAACCGTGTCGTGGAACCGTGGAACAACCTGCCCGAGACAATTATAATGTCTCAGTCTTTTGAGGCATTTAAATATCGGCTTGACAGACATATATTATACCAACATGTGGACTAAGTGACTTTTTATCCATTTAAATACCAGTGGCCTATGTGAATCGATATCTGCATTTACTTGTTGCTGTAATTTCTTTAAGTTGTTGGTAGTTTTTTAAATTTTATGCACAAATAGGGAGTTCAGAGGCGAAGTCTTTTTCTGTCAAATACACCGAATACACAGAAAATAGCCTAAAATTAAAGAGCTTTGTTTGAAGGTAGACTAAAACAGCAATTTACCGGGAACGAAATTTTAAAAGGCATCCAAGTAACGTAAAATCACCAAGTATCACTCCCAAGAAATGTAACTGGAGGGTCAAGGTCACCGGTACGGAACTAACTGCAACGCTAACCAGTGAGGACGCAATGGGTTCAGGAAATGCCATTTTGCCTATATATCATGCGCCGCTGTGCGGCTGCTGGTTGGGCTCGAGAGAGAGCCCTTAAGGCACAACGGAACGAGTGATTTCCATGCGAACGATCGGTGAGCGCCCCCTACCATTGTATATTCCCGATCGAAAACCAACAGGGCAACGGGCTCGTGGCGCATTGGTTAGAGGCGTGGACTTCTAGGTAACACGTCGCGAGTTCGAGGCTCGGGTGTTCCACACTTCGGGCTTGGGTATGACTGGCTGAAGACGGCTAATAAGCCAGAATTGGCCATTCCAGTCTCGCTTGTCTTTGTCGGTAATGCCATTCTGCCCATATATCATGCGTCGCTGTGCGGCTGCTGTTTGGGCTCGAGAGAGAGCCCTTAAGGCACAACGGAACGAGTGAGTTTCGTATGAACGATCGGTGAGCGCTCTACCATTATATATATATATATTGTCCGTTGTGAGACTTCGCGTTTATTGAGGTCAATAAACGCACCTATGCGTTGAAGTGGCCACTTCAGTACAAAGGTACACTTATGTGATACGAGCTACGTTCTCGAAAAATTTAACTAGAATGGACTAGAACTTGATGCCTTGATGAGATTTCGAAGACATCAATAATTGGTTTCAAGCAATTTCTTGCGTTTCCCTGCCAGCACCTGCCAACCGAACCCGCTCTGGACCGCTTGGGCTATATGTGTCTAGCGCTTGTTATAATGAAGTTAATACGATCTCATTTAAATCAACTCTTCGAACGGCTCGACTCCTTCGGCGTTGTAATCAATGCTGTTAGATGTGAGTTTTGAGCCCCCAGTCCAATCTTCCTGGGTCACAAAGTGAACTCTGATGGGATTAAGTCCGTCCCATAAAAGGTTTCGGCCATATCAACGTTCCCCGTCCCAACAAACATCAACCAACTTCGCCGTTTCTTGGGGATGGTGAACTATTGTCACCGTTTTCTTCCCTATGGTGCCACCATACTGCAGCAATTCAACAGCCTGTTGGCCCACTCCAAGAAGACACTAGTAATGACTGAGGAGGCCATCAAGTCCATCTATGACGTCAAGATCGCACTTGCGAACGCAACACTGTTTGCACACCCCCTCGCTGATGCCCAACTAACTCTCATGGCAGACGCTTCCAGCACTGCCGTTGGCGCATCACATCAGCAAACTGGTAGTGGTGTTCTACAGCCTCTGGCTCTCTTCTCAAAGAAGCTAAGCCCAGAAGAGACCCGCTACAGTGTTTTCGGCCGAGAACTGCTCGCCGTCTGCTTATCCATCCGGCACTTCCGAAATTTCCTCGAAGGTCACGAAGCTTCCATTCTAACAGATCACAAGTCATTCGCTTTTACACTGAGGGCCTCTCCCGATCAATACGCGCCCAGTGAAATTCGTCATCTCGATTTCATCTCACAGTTTTCCTGCGACATCCAACATGTCCATGGTAAGGAAAATGTGGCTGCTAATGCTCTTTCAGGAATCGAGATGGCTTCCGTCACAACAGACGTCATAGACTTCACACTCATGGCGGATGCTCAAGGATCAGATGGCGAACTCTTCCAATATCGCCATGAGGATTCTTCTTTACGCCTTCATGTTGTCCCCCTTCCCACTTGCAATGGCACTATAACGTGTGACCTTTCTGCCGGACGCGAACGTGCTTTTGTCCCAGCAACTTTACGACGACAGGTGTTCAACGCCCTTCACAATCTATTCTACCCTGGAGTCTGGACGACAGTGAACCTAATCACTGACCGATTTGTCTGGCCAAACATCAACCGGGATGTTCGGCGTTGGACCCGATCCTGTTTACCATGTCAGCGCGCCAAAACGCATCGGCATACTATCACACCTATGCTGAACAACGCTCAATAGGTTATTCTCTGTTAAGTGACACATTACCTTATTTTTTATCAATGTCCCTAAGATCTTCGAAACTGCGGGGAGGGTGTTTATTGGCCGAAAACCATCAAATGATGTAGATAAACCATGCTTGGGAATGAGCAAAATGTGTTATTCTTTCCACAAGGTAGGATAAGTTTTACTTTCAACAGCAAGATTAAATATATTACATAAGATGGATGGGAAACTCGAATTTGCATCGGCTTTTAAAATGCTTCCTGGGTGATAAGACTGGCGAAAACGCTGAAATCACAACAGTCACATCCCACAGACTGAAAGTTATAGTTTCTAGGACTGTCTCGGTCAATGCCTGGATGGTCGGAAGCGGACTGGTCGAGTCTTCAATAAACGTTTTGGACAGGAATGAATTGAAGTTATCAGCGGTTCTCTGAGCATCAACTATAGGATTTCCGAGAGAGTCTCGGAGGGTGGGATGTTGCGTTTTTCTTTCAGTTCGTACATTTCGGGAAAAACGTTTCAAGGCATTTAACAAACGGTTTTCGGTGAATTGAACCTCTGCGGCTGGCTGTTTTTCTTCAGACTACTCTTAGTTTGCTCAAAAACATCACAAATATAGGGCAGAACATAAACGTCGTTCTGAAGATGGGATCGACATGACAGTCTGTGCAACCTGCGACGAAAGGGTAAGGGTAGGAAAACCCCATCCTCAACATTAGTTATTTTTTTTACTGCGGAAATAAGGAGCAATAAGCGGATCCGAAATTTCGTATAGTTTTGCAGTGCAAACATTTACATCATAACTGAAGAAGAAATCAGTCCAGTCGTAGGAATGAAGGAGTGTTAATAATTTTTGAATAAAATAGAGTAGGTTTATGATAGCGCCCCTTGGGCACTGTCAGTCTCCCTTGAACACAGAAAAACAAACTTAAACAAACTCATCCATTTTGACTGCACTTTGACTTCATTTTTTGGTGTCTGCTTAGCCAATAGAACGCGAATTGGGAGTTTGTTTTAAGTCAAAATACCTGAGTTCCAAGGAAGAATCAGCACAAAAGCTTTAAGAAAGAACGATAGGTACAATATAAAAATTTAAGTGTGCAGTTTGATAGTTTCTGGGGGGGGGGGTCGGGGCAGTAATAATATGTCCTTCATGGAAATTGGAGAACTTTGATATCGGACTGACTTTTAAGTTATTTTTCAATTGGATAAATTGTGGTGTGTTGCAGTTGGTGGTAGTCAGCCAGCCATATAGTGGTGGTCGAACATTTCTTTCGAGTTTTTCAGGAGGCTTGGTATAATTATGTGGTTTAAGAGCTGGAAAAGGTGAATATATATATCAGGAGTGAGAGACATTCAATGTAAAGTCACAATCAAAGCTGTCAAAATTATACTGAATCATGTATCATATCGTTCTTGTGAATGTGACATTATATGAGTAGTGATAATGATGATAATTTTTCATTAAAGACCCGTCGGAGTACCAGCAGAGCAAGTAAAAATAAACCAACATGCGAATTTTAGAGGAGGTAGGAAGAATCTTTACAAAATGCAATTCATAGTTTCTGAAGTATTAGTCCTTTGAGAAAAGTGACTTGTGTGGTGCGAAAATGATTGGATTAATTTTACAGGAGAAGAAACCCCTCAATAAGACATAATGACAAAAAACGAGGGCAGGAATGGCTTGCATGTGGCGGTATATAACGGATTATAATCGGACATCGTCAGGGCAGAACTAAATGTTAGCCTTGATTATAATCGCACATTGTCAGGCAGAAATAAATGGCAGACTTGAGGGTCAGACAGGACTGACCTGCATGTTGTACTGTATACGGGATTCAGAACTGACATCGCCTTGGACAGACTGATAGCTACATGAGACCATTGGCGTCCAAGAGGCCAGACGAGAGGAATCCAGGCGCTATCGGCCACAGCACGCTTCAAGCTCAGCCGAGGAGTGGGGAAGGGAGGTGCGACTAAACTAATGGTAGACGGCGAAAACTGAGGATTTCGCCGTGAGTGTCGACAGACCGCTTGAGGTCGGAATACGGGAGATGATATCAAAAACCGCGAAAATTGTCGCCATGGGGGAGGAGTGATAGCAGTGGATTAAGAAACCAATTCAAAACAGGGGTTTCTCATGATATAATTGAGAATTACCAACTGATCTACCACCAAATCCCAGGAGGACCCTTCTCGAAGTCATGAAGCTGAGTGTTCGGAAATGAGACCGTTAACAGTGCCTTTATGCTTTCCGGTGTAAGGTGTTTTGTGTAATTTCGACTTGAATACCAGTAACTTCGGCGATGACCTAATTTCTGGCGGAAGATTATTCTAAAGGACAGCATATTTGGAAGCAAAGCAGAGGGAGCGCTTAGATGCAGTGCAAAGAGGCGGCGGAATCACCATGCAGGAGTTGCACGTGACATAAAACCGATCTCTCGGAGTGAGAGTGTCAATGAGCGGAAGACTGGAGCTAAAGTTGATGCGAAACAGGAAACAAAGACCAGTTTCGAGTCTTCTTATCCACCAAAACTTAATCTTCGACAGCTGACATCTCTGCGTATAAGAAGCACCGGGTGCGACTTGAGAGAACAGTTTCCGGGTGAAAACACTCTGAAAATTTTCGATCTTATAGCGATCACGGGCCTTCATTAAACCGAAGAAAGGGCATCAGTATTCGAGGACTGGAAGAACAAACATTTGATAAAGTCTTAGCTTCATTTCCGGAAGGAAAAAAATATGCGATATGAATCCACGTATTTGCGCGCCTTTGCCAGAGATTCTATCTGCATGAAGTGATAAAGCAAGCTTATTTGTATATTTGTATTTGTATAATGTTGAGGCATTCTGAAAGTGGGTTATTCTGAAAAATTATGGCACTAGGAAGTTTGGCAGGACCAAAAGACATGAAACTACACTTGGATGATGAAAACTCCATCTGCCATGTCGAACCCTATCTTCTTAAGCGTAGTAAATTGGCATTAATTTGTTCAACACAAACAGTTGCGGTGTCCTTAGAATATGAGTAAACACACTTGAGGTCATCGGCATAAGTAAAAGTTTGCGAACTTCCGAGTTCAGTCGAGACATCATTGATGTACAAAAGGAAGAGTAGCGGACCCAGAACCGTACCTTGAAGTACGCCACTCATGACTGTGACTCGTGACTATGATCTAATATAGACTAAGAAAATTATCGTTCCGTCAGTCCTACTTGCATCGCCTGTAAAATAATGGGACGCATTATCAAAAGACAGAACAGAACATAAGTACCTGGAACAGAACAAAATATTGTATGATGCCCAACACGGCTTTCGTCCAGGGCGCTTTTGCGTAACAAGTGTTCTTTAATCACACGAGAAATGGATACGATCTACGGATAATGGTTTTCCAGTGCTTGTCATATTTTTTGACTTCAAGAAAACCTTTGACAGTGTCCGACACAGGCTTTTGTTACAAAAGATCTGGGATATAGGAATAAAAGGAAAAATGTTCAAATGGATTAGGAGTTTTCTCTCCTCCAGAGTACAAAGAGTCTTCGTTGGTAACTCTTCGTCGGGATGGGCAAAGGTTGAAAGTGATTTCCCACAGGGTTCTGTCTGCGGCCCAGTACTCTTCCTGAGTTATGTTAATGACTGCATCAGTGGAGTGAATTGCGAGGCCCTCATGTTCGCGGATGACATAAAAATATTCAGTGAAGTCAAGTGTGGTGATGACGCAGAGAAAATGCAGTCGAACATCGACAAACTGTGTGCTTCATCGAACAGATGGCTTATGGAGCTTAACGTGTCCAAATGCGTAGTTTTGCACCTGAACACCGGCCGCAGTGCCCCTCCCAAACACCAGTACTATATCGACGGGACGAGGTTAGAAACGGTAAAAAGACACAGAGATCTGGGTGTATGGACGACCACAAATCTATCGCCACCAGAACACTGTAGAAAGATGGTCCAGAAGGCAACTAGTACTCCACACTGGATCAGACGTGCATTTAAAATATTTCCTTCGGAACTCTTCGAAAGACTCTTTGGTGTCTATGTAAGGCCTCATCTGGTGTATGGAATGCCAGCAGCTTCACCATGGATGAGGAAGGATATCGACGTACTCGAACAAGTGCAACGCAGAGCGGCAAAGACGGTCGACGGTCTAAAGCATTTGTCTTAACAGGAGAGGCTAAATTTGCTTGCTTATTCCCACTCTCTTATAGACAAATAAACTGCAGTCCGGATTCTCCGTGGCCAGGGTTGCTCATTAAGAGCAAAGGACTTCTTTGAGTTTGCCCGTACAAGCTAACTACGCGGCCATACCTACAAAGTCGTGAATGAGCGCATGCCCTTAGATCGTCTAAAATTTTCAATCAGCCAGCGGGTCGTCCGACCGTGGAACTCGCTTCCAAGCGAGATGGTGACGGCTGACAAAGTTTGTGTGTTCAAAAGAAAACTTGCTCGTCTAGTTTTCGACAGAAGTCGGCTTTTACAGCACGACTATGCACAGCCATTTTTGTAAAAAAATTCTCCGCAATTATTAACAGTGACCTTATGCACTACCTTATGATTACGATTGAACTGTGACTAGATCCCATTGTAAATGCCGGCAATTTTATTTTTGAGCACGAATCTGCGAAAGCACTGTACATACATAGGGTCATCAAGGGCTCTGCCTCGAACCCTCCAAATATGTACATACATACATAGACAGTTGTATATATGTAGAGTAGAAGTGGTAGGCATTCCCAGACGATATAATGAAAAAGGAAGAGGTTCTTCGGAAAAAATCGAGTTGTACTCGTGAATTTTCGAATTGGTAACACCAACCCGTTGTCAGACAAAATGAAGAGAGAAGAGAGAGTGAGACAGTCACACTAGACTAATAGATGAGACAGGACGAACATTGACGGACGAACCATTAGCGTGTGAGGAGGGATGCGGTTAGGGAGTCAATTCAATTCAATTATTTTTATTAAAGACCCGTCGGGGTCCCATCAAAGCAAGTAAAAATAAATTTACATGCGAA